AATATTTTTTTTTTTTTAAAACTTAAAAAAAATAATATAAATTTAATAATTAGTCAACAAATTTTTTTTTTTTTTTTTTTTTTTTTTTTTTTTTTTTTTTTTTTTTTTTTTTTTTTTGAATATTAAATGTTTTTTTTTTTTTTTTTTTTTTGTAATGAATAATAATTCAAAACCAAGTCCGTAATATATTCTTTATATGAAAAGAAAAGAAAAATTTTACTAAAATACTAAAAAGTTACAAAAAATACAAATATGAAAAAAAAAAATGCTATCAAACATAATAAACATGTTTGAAAAAGAAAATATTGAATATTTAAAAGTTGGATTAGTAATGGTGTTTTTTTTTTTTATAAATACATAAAAGAATTAAAGAACATATATAATGAATACGTTCTTAAAAAAAAATATATTTCACACAAAAAAAAGATATGCTTAACTCGAGAACGTAAAAGAAAAAAAAAAGTTTATAAAAAAAAAAAAAAAAAGGAAGCGACTTTCTACAGGTGTAAATAAAAAGGGATTTAAAATAAAATAAAAACGTAAAAAAAAAAAAAAATTAATATATTTGCATGTATGTACATACAAATATATATAATTGAGGAGTTTTTTTTTTCTTTTTAATAAAAAAAAAAAATTCCTTCGTTCCAATACATGTTTTCGCGTGACGGATAATATATATATAAACTATCACTACAATAAAGAATGAGAATGAGAAACTATTTTTCAAAAGGGTGTCAAAAAATACATATAATATAAACAAGAGTGAGTATTGTTGTATGATACACCGATCTCCGCCACGCAGATCTAAATCAAAGAAAATTACAAGGCACGCGGAAATATGAGGAGTATAGAACACACAATAAATGATCGGACTAAAATCCTCAAAAATGTAAATCATCTTTTCTTTTTACAAATAATGATAATTGTGTGCAAAATCTCCAATACCAACCATACCCATATTTCCAAAATTAAATGGGAATCTGAGCATGTTCATATTGTTCATATTAAGACTATTAATTGTGTTCAAGGCTTGCATCTGCTCACGGTGAAGTTTACCCTGAATTCGTTTACCATATGGCGTGTTGCGAATAGCTGGCAAAAGGGGTCGAATGCATTCTACCAACTAATTTTCATAAATAAACATTGAGATAGTATTACATTAATTATAGAATTAAAATAATAACAAACATACTTGAGCGCGTTGAATCGGATCGGCGTAGTCAAGAGAAGTTTGTACAACATAATTCGCGTAAGAATCGCGTAATAATTTATCGAGTCGGTTCTTATTGAGCATTTCATCGATCAAACATTTGCGTGTATCCGGCTCTGCAACTCTAATACACTATAAAGGTATTATAGTTTTAGCATAAACCCTTGATGATAATATTTACCTCTAACATAATCTAAAAATATTAAGATACCTTTTCCATAACGTTGGAGCTAAACTTCTGCACTGACAACAAGCACACATTACCGATGAATTTACGAATCAGAGCATCCGTAAATCGACTATCACCAAGATCTAAGACATATTGAACAACGTAGTTACCAAAAGGATCCTACGTAAATAAAACAATTAAAACGAGAAAAGTAATAATTAAAAATTTCACAAAAAATTGTAGAATCAAATTACTTGTACTAAGGTAAGTGCATTGAACGTAATCTCAGTGACTAGTTGGATTTTTTGAGATTCACTTGCGCGATCAATACATCGTTGAAGTACACAACAACCGTGGCGATGTGTGGCAACTTCGATGCAATTTTTGCTTACGGCATTATAAATGAACTAAGAAAATACAATTATAAATTATTACAAAATTCATTGGTTAACTGGTTTCAAAATTTGATACTCGAGTAAAATGTCGTATAAACCTACTTGATTTTCCTCATGGCTCAAGCGGTGTAAACATTTTTGAATCACATGATTTCCGTTCAAGTCCTTGATAAGTGGTACAACATTAGGATTCAAAGCTACAATTACAATACGAATCTAAATCATAGAACAATTATTATTATTATTAAAATTTTAATGGTAAAGTTTATAAAGCGGAAATAAAAATATTAACCTGTGTTGGAGTTGACAGGAATTCAATCATTTTTTGAACAGCACGCGTACCGTGCATGTTTAATGAAATATTTACTAATTCCGGTGCCACCGTCTCAATAATTATTGTACGTTGATCATCATTACAATACTCAAGAAGCTTTTGGCAAAGATAGTTACCAAAAGGATCTAAAAATAAAAAATAATTATAATTATAAAATTAACTATTATAATAATGAAGATAAAAAATAATATATATATATATATATATTAACTAACCTGTCATTAGTTCAACGAAATGACTGAAAACTTCATTGAAAATCATACTAATATATTGTTCATTCTTTTCTTCAAGTTTTTTTTGAAGATACCGACAACCATGCTGATCCTTACAAAGAGAGTATATCTCGCCCACTAGATCTTCCAACATAACACCAGTAAACCTGTTGACTGCAAATAAATGAATAAATATATAAATATATAATAAAATAAAGATGAAATTAACATTAATATAATTTAAATATGTTACCTTCAAGATCACTACTCAAACGTTTTTGATTCATTTTAGAGAAACTCAAATTGTTAACGTGCATCATGGATCTCATACCATTGGTATTATTATTGAGTGCAGCGTTTAGAGCAAAATTCTGATTATATCCAAAGCCATTTGAGCCTGGTATCATGTTAATTCCACCCATACTAGCCATGCCATATTGTCCATAGAAAGCAGTAGAATTATTCATTTGTGGCATAACGCTTGGAAAAGCACCCATTTGAACCGTAAGACCCATGTTTACCGGATTTATACCATTAAATGTATGTGTATGTGCATATTGACATCGATCTCCCCATGAGCAAAAGCCTTGTTGGAAGAAACGGCAAGCACCGTTACCAGTAAGATCACTATTATTTTGCAATTGAATAGTTTGGGACATTTGATTATCAGAATCTATAAATAAGTCTCTAGCAAATTGGCCATTTAGTGTAGTCGAGCGACAACCAAACAAACGAGTAGCACTAGCTAAATCAGGGGTTGAGTACGATGTCGAAAGCTTTGGGATACGTTGTTTAGTTGTTGAACTTTCGGTCACCAAATTATCTAATTTTTTTCTATCATTCGAATAAGAAAATCCATTTGAACAGCTAGTACTTGAAGTAGTACTAGTAGCGGAAGTTGATGAATTCACTGTAGATTTGTTAGAGGCTTGATTATCTGAGAATAATGGAGCTAGCTTGTCTAATTGAGCACGTGATGTTGGACAGTTTTCAGATAACTCGTCGGATTGATGTTGATAAGCGTGTGCCCAATCTACGTTTAGTATGGAATCCAATCCTCGGTGACGGGAAGATGTTTGGCGTAATGAAGCAAGATCAAGTGCTGCAGAAGATGCAGACAACTATCAAGTCATGTATATAATTTCGAATAGTTAATAAAAAGTGATAAAAATATTATATATATATAATTAATGATTAAAATAAATATAATTAAATATTTTTAACAAAAAAAAGAAGCTAACCATGCCCGGATAACTATCGCGACGAACTAATATCGGAAACTTGTCATCATCTGTGTGCATTTGAAGGTACCTACGAACGTATGATGATGATGCTAATGACGGATTTTCTGCATATATAGAATTAAAAGTAAATATTTTGTTTGAAGAGAACCATTCATTTATAATTAATTAGTCTTTTTAGATGTCGTACCGTTCAAACCTGTCTCAGAAGTTTCACCATCATCATCGAGCAAAAAATTTCCATTAAATTGTGGGAAAAGTGATGCATCATTATTTGGTGCGTTAACTGACGTAGCATCAGGTAAACGAACCGAATTTTTATGCAAATTCGAATTACTTTTTCCAATTGAAGCTCGTATAAACTCTTTTCTATAAAATAGACATATATAATTCAAATAAAAAATTTTTAATAAATTGATAAAGAATAATTTCATAAATATTGAGTAGATCGTATTTAACTTACTCTACTTTCTCAGAATTATCGTTTTTTGAATCAATACATAATTTCTCAACTTTTGGCCATGAGGGTTTTTCGGGGGTTTCATTTGAATTACGACGAGAATTTGGAACAGAACGAGATGACATATGCGATCGCTGTTGAACATTATGAGACGATTCGGAGTCAAATTGATTAGAATGAGGAATTGTAGTGTCGATTGATGAGGTAATTTTCGGCATAGTATCTGATCGAGAACGAAAATCAGTCGAAGCCAAAGTAGGAGGAGTATTTGGAGCGCTAGCACTTTGGACAGACGAACAACCACCCGCTTGATGCTTTTCGAGCAAATCTTGCTCTTCTCTAAGTTGCTTAAGCTCGAGGATCTTCATCTGCTCTTCAAATCTTTTACGTTGTTCGTTTCGTTGGCGTTCGTGCTCTAATCGTTTTTGTTCAAGTTTCTTTTTTTATTATTATTGTAAATATGTATTAAGTTCAGTTTTTTTTTTTAAAAAAAAAATTACAAATTAAAAAAAAAAATTTACAAAAAAAAAAATATTTATTTGCTTACAATATCAACTTCTGACGCAGGAGGACTTGATTTACTTGTATTCTATAAATAATAAAAATAAATAATAACATAGAGAACGAAATAATATTAATAATAGTAATAATAAAAATAATAATGGTAATAATAGTAATAATGATGATAATAAGAATAATAATGATAATTTTTTTTTTAAAAAAAAATAGTATAATATAATAATAGCAATATAATGATAACAGTTGAAGATATAGAATGCATTTTGATCATGATAACAATTATTTACGGAAAAACTTATTTGTTTGTTTACACAATACAGAATACGTAAGAGATGAATCACTGACCCCTGTATTTGAATAATCCGGATCTCTCAAATTTATAGCAACAGCAGGTGCAACCAATAAATCTAAAGGGCCATTTCGGTTTGTCTCAAGTGAACTACGGTCAGTCATTCTTTCATGATTGCCATCTATAGATGATGAAGAAAGTTGACGAGGGTGGGATTGTGTAGTATTCATAGTATGAGATCCATTTAAAATATGAAGTTGTCGTTGTATGCGATGGACATCTTGATTATCTCGTACTTCTGATGCAGATGATGGAATATTGTTGAGTGATGTTAAAAAAGCATGTGCTCTTGTATCAACGGTTTGCATTGATTTATTATAGTTTGATGTGTTATATTCCTTGGGGAATAAGTTATGAGGGAAAACATTGCTAGTGGGTGAAATGGCGGCAATGCTTGTTGGTTCTGGAGACATTTCAGGTGGGATACGGATATAATTTTGTACAATTCTCGCCTATAATAAAATAATAATAATAATAAATATAATAGTATATTTAGTATATGGGTTTGTTTTGTTTTGATATAAAAGTTTGGTTTGACTTGATAAATCAAATATTTTGCTATTCCTTAATAGCACAGGGTATAAAAAAGAAAAAAATAAATAAAATAAAATAAAAAATACAAGTTAAAGAAAAAAAACCGAAAGAGTAATAACGTGGTTGCAACGTGGAAGTAATATTTTGGTCAAGTGAAACATATAAAATAAACAATACGATATGTCACAGAAGAATGCGCATATTTAGTAGTTGTTTTTTTTTTTTTGTTTGGTTACGCCTTGTAAACTAGAAGTTCACAAAAGGTATGCATCCTGCAGACAAAAGACTGTATCGATTGCCATAGTGGAGCCATCAATTAATGTTCGTGCAACAATTTCAGATTTGTCTAAACGAAATATGTTTTGTTTGTTTTTTTTTCTGAAATGAAAAAGGTTAACAAAAGGTTCTATATATATTTTTTTACCCACCAAATAGCAAACCTCGCGATAACATATTTGAAAAATAGCGAGAAAAAGAACGGCAACCAAAGGGTCTGTCTAGAAGTATAACTTCTAAGGATGGAACCCGAATAGAAAAGAACGAAAGTTGAAGGGTCATAGCATAAGTAACAAGAAGTTTACGATCAACTTACCCAAGATAGAAACCAAAAGGTGACCGTAGTAGTACCGATAAAGATATACACGTAACAAAAGAGGTTGAGGATTTATCCTGGTATCCAAAAGAAACCAAGCGTTTGAGGATAAATTTTGGCGGAAAAAAAAAAAAAAAGAGAAGTTCGCTGATATATAAATAATATCTATGTTAAACTTGATAAAACCTGTATTTATGAACATATAAAAATATAGAGAACAAGTAATATCTGATGCTTTGATATAAATAATCAAATGAGATACCGTGATAAGTAAAAGGAAATACCGAAGCAGGAGAAACACTCAAGAGCTTGCCTGAAAGGGAGATTTGATGAGAATGGGTGACTATCAAGAGGAAGTTGTGTTATGATTTTATTTAAAAATGGGCTGGTTTTTTTTTCAGTTGTATATATGCAGAGAATGCTTTTTGTCCATGCTGATTGGACAAATAAATTTGTTTCGGAGATTTCGGAGAGCAATTACTGGAATGTCACTCTCACGTTATATAATCCGTTATATAATTATATATATGATATATAAATATATATTACTGGTATATTTATAGATATAAAACAAGAGTGAATTCGAAGAAAAAAAATAATAATAATCATAATATACCAGATAATCTTTTGGATATATCATATCGAATATTATATATTATAAATATAATATATTAATATATATATAATGATATAACAGATCTAAGGATCGATTGGAATTGGTTTTTTTTTTCACATGCTTCAAACCTGAGATATTGTGATAAAAAAAAAAAAAAAAAAAAAAAAGAAGTGATTATTTCAAGTTTAAAATAAATAAAAAACTATTAGGTTTCAAAAGATAATAAAAATAAAGATATTCGTGCTAGAAACGTCAATTATGTAAAATAAAGTATTGTTATAAAGCTTGATAAATCTCGATTATTTGTTCCACCATCCCAGTCCCGTCTTTCTCGAATGCAAAAAAGAATATTGGATGAATGCTACAAATCATAGTCAGATAAAAAATTGATAAGGTTGATAAGGTTGATAAGGTCGATGGATAACGTTGATGGATAACGTTAATGTCAAATGCGTCAATAGTGGAATAGTAAATAGCGAACTGTATAACGGATAAATAGTTTAGCAAACCGAAAAACCGAAAGGGAAGGTCACTCATTTAAGAACGGATTCATTATCGTTATCGTTATTAGTTATTCATTCATTTATACAAAACAAGATTAATGGCTTTTTTTCCTTATTGATTGGTTCTCGGTTTCAATGAGAATCCGGTGCTTTGGGGGAGCTTTGTAATCGTTATGTTAGTATTCGACAGGCGCCAAACAAGTAACGGAGTGACAACAAGAACGAAACTATAAATGTTATTGCCACAACTACGCCCGGCATCATCTTTTTCTAACTAAATGAGTACTGTTATTTGTCTTTGTTTGGACACGCGCATTAAAACTGATTTGACCACGAGATTTTCCCCCATTTACTCTGAAAAAATACATATTAAAATCCCCCCCCTTTCATTCCTTCCACTTCTAGATAACGCCTCAGTCCGACCTTGCAACTATTTACCAATTTTGGTGCTCGAGTTGCGGGAACTGCCGGAATTGCAATATTAGCGCGAGGCTGCGCTATAATGTTCTTTCAACTTACTTTTGTCGCTGTTCAATTTATTTTATTTTATAAAGTTATCTTTTATTTATAACTATTATAATTTATTATAAATCGCCGGCGATCAATAATTTATCTCTCACGCGACTTTCTCAATTCTTTCTTTCTTTATATCGCAAATCTCTCCTGTCGTTCCGCGGATAATTTTCCGTGTATCTGATAACCAGTTCGAGTTAACACGTTTAAAGTAAACAAACATAAATGAGATCTCATTCCACGCGTTTTCGGGAAATTTTCTGTGCACATAAGTACAATATCCAATTGTTGTTTCCTATAAACTGTAATACTGTAGTGCGACGAATAACAAATAACCACAAAACCCCATATCTGATATATAAGTGTACAAATTATATTGAATAGCGATAGTTACTAAATATACTAATTACTGAAATAGTTACTAACAGCTAAATACATACTAAACAATTCTAAATACTTACTAAATAGTATAATAATTTATTGTTTTGCAGTTTTATTTTTCGTACATGATGTACTGTATATGTCTGTATATATTAGATTATTATGACCTATCTAGTGCTATCTTGTACCCTTCTAGTACCTTTCTAGTACCTGATTGTTATGGCCTTAGCGACTCTGACTTTCTCATCGCTCTTTGCCACGCTATGATAAAAAACTTCTGCGCTGTTATTTTATGCATACATGCTATGTATACTGCATAAAATAATTGCTGCATATTACTCTTTTTGGCTAAAGTAACCCTTGAAGATTTCCCGCTATACCCCATTTTCTGGTATAATCCTGATGTTCAATGAACTTTTTTTTTATTTTTTTATGTTGTTTTATTTGTGATTATTTCATTTTCTTTTGTGAATAATTTGCGATAATGATTTCGTGCTTGACAATCAAACAATCAAAATCCTCTAACGCTAAATTTTTCTATTTTGTTTTTCCCAATATTGCATTTTCCCGCCTTCTTACGCAGTTGATTTTTTGCCTCCAAAAATGGCTTTCAAGTAAATGCGGCAAGTTCTATACTTAAATTTCAAGTGAGTATTACGACAATAAATTTTTCCATTTATAGCTATATATTTATCACTTGTCACCATTATACTATTATTTTGAAAATCTGATCTTCTGACTCGTGTGGGAAAATGATATTCTCCGATGTGATTGTGCTTTGTTTGTTGACATTTCATCACATCTGTCAATCGCTCGATTTATATGAATGTGATCTGTTCGATTATCACGTCAATCTTTGCAAAACCCGGATTATTTTTATTTTTATATATCTGATATATATTTTTTTTTTTTAAAAAAAAAAAATTGTTTATTTATTATTAAAATACACTATAAATTTAACATTTGTTTTTAAAAATATACATGTATATATACTTTATCTTTTATTTTAAACGTTAATTCGAAAAATAATTTTTTTTTAATAATATAGTATTATTAAAAAGTTTTTATTTATTTATATACTAATATAGATAATATCGTTACTTCTGATATATTATATATTATAAAATAATTTTAATAATATTTTTAAAATATACTCTTAGGATTGTATATATATAATATTAGATTATAAAAATAAATTTATATATTAATTAATAAAAAAATATTTAAAATATTTAATTATTAGTTAATAACTTCTTTTTTTTTTTTTTTTAGCAAGTTATATTTTAATTTTTATTTTATAATTAAAAAACTATAAAGATTTTATCTTTATTTTAACAACTAAAATTAAAACTACAAGAAAGAAAAAGTAAGACTCATCTAGTTATCCAAATATTACTTATTTATAATCTGCTATATAATAAATTAATTTTTAATCTTAAAAACCAAATATTTTTATTTTTTTTTTTTTTTAATATCACTAAAAGAGTTTATTTAGCTTATCATAATTTCTTGTTATATAGTTGAATATTACTAAACTAATAATATTTTTCTATATAATAAAAATAAAAAATAAAAAAATTATATATAAAAAAAATTTTTTTTTAACTTTTAGTAGTTATATTAAAACTTTATTTAAATTTGTTTTATTACTAAAAATAATATTATTTGGTTATACTTTTTAATATTTAATTTTTTTTAAATTATAATTTATTTAATTATTTTTTTTTTTTTATTATTAAAACTATTTCCTTAACTGATTAGATTTTATTAGTTTGTTATTACAGAGCTATTACATGAATAGTCTTCTAAGGTTTTACAGTTATATGATGAATATATAACAAGCTATACATACAACTTTAGTTATTATCTAATTTAAGTAGTTTGCTATACAAATAATCGACTATTTGTTGATTATTTATTTAATTATTTTAAAAATATTTATATACAATCTGTTATAGTAACTTTTATTTTAGATTATTATCTTTGTATTATATATTTTTTTTTTTATAATTTGAGTAAATTTGTCTATTATTTTATTTAAAAAAAGTTTATATAAAATATAAGACTAATTTAATATACTAATATACTAATTAAATCTTTTTTTTTTTTGTTAAAGATAGCTTATATTGCTTAAGAAATTTTATTAGTATTGCAAATAGGATTACATATTAATAATCCTTACTATTTATAATTATATGAAGAGTATATAACAAGTCATATATACAACTTTAGTAATTTTCTATTTTAAGTAATCAGCTATACAAATATTAGGTTATCTAATTAATTCTACACTATGCTACTATTACAGAAAGTATATTCTAAGCTTTCTTATATACTAACTATAATAGGGATACAACTATCTAGAGACTTTAAGAAATAGTATCAAAGAAGAAAGTATAATTCTTATATCATTAAAGAATTATACTTATCTCTAAAGAGACAGTTCATTTATAATCATTTATTTTATTTTATTTTTTTTTTTGTTAAGACGGCTTATATTGCTAAAAGAATTTTTATTAGAATTGTCAATGGGATTATACATTGATAATCTCTACTGTTTGTAATTACATGAAGAGTACAATAAGCCATACGTACAAATTTAGTTATTGTCTATTTTAAGTAGTCTGCTGCATAGGCGTTAGGCTACTTGATTAGTTCTACACTATGCTACCATATCTGTAACTCACCTATGAGTTACTTATTTAAATACTCTGTTCATTAACCTATACAGATCTAACCTAATATTACCACAATATCTAACTGCTTAAGCCAGCTAGCTCGTTATAGATCTATTTATTCAAATAGCTTAGGTTCTTTTAAGATACATTATACCAGATATATTGCTAGTACCACAGTACCAGTTAATCTTAAAGCAAACCTACTAGAGTAGTCTGTACTCATTTTACAGATTTATCTAGTTTAGACCCTTGTAGATGTTCATACAATCCCAGGTTCCATCGTAGTCTTCTACTGGTTAGTCAACCTAGTCCTTTTCCAGTATCTAGCCAGTCCTAATTACTCTTCATCCAGAGACCTCGAAACCTTCTACTTTTATTAAATTGAGTTTTCTTTTCGAATCAGACTTTAGCTAATGTAGTCCTATCAGAAGGCTATACTACTTCACTAACTGGAGATTTCTACCACGCAGGTTCATTGCTCATATATCTTATCAAGATTTATTCATATAATATTATGCTATACTTCTAAGTTCTGATCGATTTAGTACAACTCAATTTATAGGGGTATGCTCCCAGAAATGGACAGAGTTTACTATAACTAGAGATGTACATTCTGCATTATATGTATTACATTATGCAAAACATAATGTTATATAATGTAATGTAGATATTTTAAAATTTAAAAATGTACATAGAAATTACTATATAATTTTAATATAACAAAAATCAATAAAAGATTATATTTTATATCATATGTAATACTAAGTAATATATAATATTAGTCTTTTTTCGCTAATTCTCAAAACAATATACGGAGTAAACAACTTTTTTCAAAAAACAATAGAAGCCTTAAATATTTCCTAGTTGAACAGTCTTATAGAAGAACAGCATGTAGAATAGGCCTAGAACAATATTCGATATAGCTACACGGGAGCAACTATGCTAGCTGACTATAGCGGGTCAAACTTTAAAACTACACAAATATTTAAGAGTATATTTTTATATGAAAGAAGTAAAAGAAGCTCAAAGAAACAACCAAATACCAAGTTTAAACTAGGTTAAACTTGTAGCTACTCTTTAATAACTCCATATGAATACTGCTTATATTTCCTCAACTACTACCTTCGAACTTTCAATTTTCTATTCTCATTTTTCTAGGGAATTCAGCTTCCCCCTGTTAGAAGATCAACATTTGTGAAACTTCCATTTTAGAGAAGATATTAGATGTTCTGATGTAAACAAGAGAAATCTCGAGTAAACAAAGGAACACATAGTTTATAATCACAAATCTAGTCACGTGAATAGAAACCAGAAGAGCATAATATTAAGATATATTATTATACGTGACATAATATATATATAATTTTTAACTATACTGAATATCTTTTTTTTCTTTATGTTAGTTTAGTAATCCTCTGTTCCTAGTCCTTTTACTTTTTATTCTTTTTTGTTATAGAGATTAGAAGGTTTTTAACTTGTTAGCAAGTTTTTACTCTAATACTCTATATATTAGTTTACATAGTATAGTTTTGCTATTATAATAATTTTTATTTTTTTACCTTGAGACTAGGTATTAACTACTTGTAACTTGGTATCTACTAGGTTAGAAGGGACCTGAGATCTTAGTACACGGCTAGAAGTAGCCATCATGGATCAAATTCTGAGAATCTGTACATGCTGATTAAGGTTTTTGTGAGAGAATAAGCTTCTGCAGTAGATCGAACTTGAGCACCCTCAAGGCAGCTGAGTTAGTTCGAAATAGTTTTAGGAGAACTAAATTAGTATACTTGTATATTAGATTAGTTTTTAGCTTGTATTTAAGCATTCCTTAATAAAATGACAAGCAAGATCGCTCAAGGTAAAAAAAAAAATATATATAATATTAGTTAGTAATTTTCTAACTATATAAAGTAGACTAATTATTATGAGGTTTGAAAATATTATGAAATAGTAAACTTCTGTCTAGAAATAGGAATCATGCTTCTTGATTTTGATAGAACACTAAAATATATAATATTATATTCTGCATTATGCTGCATTATGTAATGCAGAGTCAAAAAAATATGCATTTATACATCTATAACCATAACGTATCATAAGGTCTGAGAAATTATTCAAATTCATCGACAGTAAAATTTGAACCCCAGACCTATTGCATAGTAGTTTGACAACCTAACTACTATACTAGATCGCTAGACCTATTTATTTTTTTTTTTTGAAATTAAGATAAGGTTTTGCCTTTATCTTTATTAAAATTTGTGTAAGATTCCACAAGGAGTTTCTTAAGATTTACAAATTTGTTTACAAGAAATAAGACTCAGACTATAAATAGTAAACTATCTAATTTATCTGCAATCTAAACTTACTAGAGTGGTTAAAAACTTACCTAGATTTGAATATTTATGATAGCGTTAGATAGATAACTATATTTAACTCACAAAGTAGACCAAATATTAATTTTATGTCATGCTAGTCCAAGAGGAGGATATTGATTATTATTGTTATGTAGTTGGTCAGGTTGGCTACATAGACATATATATGTATAGCCTATTTTGAAGTTGCTTGAACGTAGTGAACATAAGCGAGTAGATTTTTGAAGTCGATTCAGAATATTATTTAAAGTTTTCTATTCAGCTAATTTAGAGCAGTAGGGCTTCCAAATTTGCTTATAGATATTATCTGAGAGTTGAAGAAGAAATTGAGTAATAAGTTTAGAGGCTATTTTGTATGTATCAGTATATGTAGAGAGTAGTTCAATAAGTGAGAATAGTATAAATCCTTGAAGAGTAGTTTCAATTGTTGGAATATTTTGAAAGGGTTGTTGGTATTGAAGAGATGAATGGGTAGTTAATTGATTATGTAGTTTTTGAATTGTTTGAGTAGAAAGGTTAATTCATGATCTGCATGCAGATTAGTGAATTTTAATATTAAAGTGCGGGGATAATTAACTTAAAGATTTTGAACGTGTATTAGAATCTACTAAAGTTAACTAGACATTTTTTTTTTTTACATGCCCAAACACAAAGAAAATACAATTTTATTACTTTCTCGTAGTATATGGGATGAAAGCTTGCATTTTGAGCCTTTTTGCTATAATTGGTGGCTTCCTCAGCCTATTGATAAAGCAAATGAAATAATCTAGTTATACCCTATTCGATTATATTTTAAAACATTAGTCATATTAAAAGCGTGTGAATTTATTACTGAAGTAGTTCAATCTAATTCTGCTTTTGATTCATGCTCTGGATATATTTGTAAATATAATGAGATTTAAAATAATATATGCGAAATGGCAACAGTAGCTATTTCTTCTATATATCATCAATTTTTCAAAACCAAGACAAAATTTTCAGGTCCAGAAGTTCCAGGATTTGATAAAACAATTATTACAGACGAATTATTATCAGATTTACCCTTTTGCCCTTATAATTTTCAACTTGAGATCCTTCAAATTTGAATAGTAAGAATTGGCTCTAATGAAATTACAACTAATTTAGCAGGCCCTGGATTTAAATCAGCCTTCATATATCAATATAATAAAAGTCGGGCTTTGTTTTTTTAAGAAATTGATAAAAATCACTGCAGAGTAACAATTTACTACGAATGCAATGTATGTATAGACTTTATTGAACAAAATCTAGATTTAGTTTGGTCAAAAATTGGAATTCTACAGCAATATAATGGAAATCAACTTTTTGGATTAACTAATCAATATACAAAAAACCTTATACAAGCAGCTTAAATCCCGTGTTGTACTTTGAATAAATGGAATAACAAAGAAATAATGACTAATATTTACAATTACCACCTTAAACGTCGTATAATGGTGAATATAAATTGGTATCAATTTTTTTGCAATTGGTTAGAACAACCAAATACAATTATTGAATTAAGGTCGGCCCTGCAGCTGATCTATTCAATAGAATATGAAATTAGAAATCGGGATTTCGAGCCTGGAAAGCAATGTTAAAAAATGTTAGTTGTTCTGATATTACCCCATATGAAAAAGATCAGTTAAAAGTAAGTAGCTATTTTAATAAATTTTACAATTTATATGTATACTTAATTGATATGAATCGATTTCTATAGTTCGAGTTTTGGTCTCAGTCCATTACTCCGAATAGTGATAGAAGTTCTTTGTCTACATTATACGATCTTGGATTTGTTACTTCAGCTCTCTTATACTTCTCTTTGAATGCTTTTTGGAATTCTTTTCACAATTCTTTGGAAATTAATAAATGCAGTATAGATAGGCGTCGACAGGTATTATCTATAATTGCTAATGATTTCAACTATGAAGTTATTAAAAAAAACTTAGACGTAAGTAGCCTGTTTGAACTTATTACTACTATACCAATTTCTACTTCTCTTTTTAAGCTTACTATTTTTTTTAGGTTTCAAATGATTTAATTTGTGCTGTACGAAAGTATACACGCATTTATAGGCCTAGAGGATTAGTTACTAACAAACCTGTAATTAGATATGAAAAAATGTTGTTAGAAAAAAATGCACAATTACAATCTTTTTTAATAGACAAAGCTAATGTCATAATGAGCTCATATAAAACTGACCTTATTACAAATGAACTAGTATATTACCTGAAAAATTCAAAAGATGTACTGTGGAACAAATTTTATGAAGAATACCCGAATGGAATGTGCTGTACTAGTTTTTACACTAGGTTAGAGGGAAATAAATACATATATCGAGAAGATTTGAGTGGATTATGCTATACGTGTTCACAATATGGTTACGAAATATTTTCAGATATTATCTCACTAATTCAAAAACATGTAGTAGAACATGTAATTCAGGTAATTAAGTCTGGTAGTATTATTAATTTTCTGAGAAAAAATTACAGCGAGATTCCTGATGATTATAGAATACAGATGGCCTGAAGGATTATCTGCATTATATGATTAGGCATAGAAATTCAACTTATATAGTGTGGGATCCTAATTGGCCAATATCGAAACTTGGGGATGTCGATGTTCTAAGATGCTATCAATATCCCTAACTCACATTGTTTATGCCTACTAATTTTTACAGAACAATCCTAAAAATTTCTGGTTGGATTTAGGTCAGTATTTAGCCCTAGTGGTTTGTAGATTTTATAACAAAATTATTAGCTGCGCACTTTTCACTTAATGAACGGCTATGATTTCATTAGTAAAAATTTAGTGATCCTGAGCAAATTTGATCATTTCTGGCCCTGCTAACCAGGATTTCGATGCATTCCGACCAGGAATTTCTTGTATAAATTCATGCTTACCTTTATTATAATTTTTTATATGATTATTTGTAACTGGGAAATTATAATAATAGGGTATTAAAATAAATATTACATCATAGATAATAGCTAATACATACTATATTTGTTATTACAGAGACAATTATCGTTAGAATGTGAAAAATTGAAGCGTTTTCTCAAACAGAATTATGAACAACATTTCCATATTACTCTACAAAGAACGATATTCCATGATACTTGCATTAATCATTGTCTTTTATATGCATTCAGATAGTGCGACGAACCCCATACTCAAACTTGTAATAACTGTTATACTTTTTTTCAATTTTTTGATATATTACGTAATAATATTAGTATTTCAATTTACGAAGAGTTGGATGATCTGTACGATCATTTGCTCTATTACTTGGCTCATTAGACAAGAAAGGCATATTTAAATGCTCAATTGAATGCAAACTTGTTAAATCTGAATGAAAAAACTGCTTTAATACTAGTCGACTACAAAATGAAAATACTACCTAAAACAGCATGTGAAACTAAACAAGATTGGTTTGGCAAAAAAGGCTGGTTTCTTCACTCAGTCCTTGTATATACTACACAATTCAACTCAACAAAATTACGAATTCAAGCATTTGATCATTGGTCTATAGATTCATATCAAGATTCGTGGTTCACAGCATCTTTACTTCATGCAGTAATTGAAACATTAGATCCAAAACCTGAATCAGTGATAATAATATTAGATAACGGGGATCATTACCATAATGCTGATCTAATGATGATAATGGGATATTGGCCGAAATAGTATAGAATTAATGTAAGCAGATAGATTTTTTTGGAAGCAGAAGAAGCGAAAACTACAATCGATTCTCATCATGCACAGATACGATAACTGCTAGTAAATTATTCATATTACCTACACTCGTATATTGACTTTTATTTTTTTTTTTTTATTACAATGAATCAGATATCATATACAATCAATTGATATATTCGTTTAGGCTTTGATGTAACAGTAGAACAGGATATTGAGAATGCGATCAAAGGAATTAAAGGGACTTCTGTTGCAAATCTGAATCCTATTTGGGACAGAGGTAGTGGTAATAATACATTACCTGGAAATTCTAACTAGTTTGAGTGGCAATGGCCAACAACGGGCGAATTTTCTGGATGTATTAAAGTACAGGATATTCCTGGTATAGGTGAATAGAAAATTTTTACTATAGCAGAATTAGATAAATTTTGCAAAAAAGACATTAATAAGCCCACACCACAAGTATCAACACATACTACACCTTCATCAGAATGGGAAATGCTAATGCCGAATTCATCACGTATGTCCTTAATACTGTTCAAATTTATTATATTCAGTAATAACTAGGCTTTTTTATTGTCAAGGTCTTATTCTGAGTCATCTTACAAGAGAAAGTCTAGTGAAAGAATTAGAAAAATGAAACTTTAGGTTCAATAATAAAGAAAATAAAGATCAATTGATAAATTTACTAGAAAACCAATTGGTAGAAGATACGAAAAAGGCAAAAATAGATATATCATTGTCAACATGGTTTTGAATATGATAAATAATTGAATTATTGTTTTCTATAGCTCATAATCAAACAAATAGTATATCTAACAAAGAGAATCGTCATATTTTCAAAGTGAACAAGTTTCCTCTAAATTCGGGTTGGGCTCTTAAGGCAAATTAAAAGTTTGGACGAAAAAGCACAGGAAAGCGAATATCACCTGAAATTAGAGCTCTATTAGAAGGGTATTTCTTAGCAGGAAATATAAATAAAAGCAATAGGTATACGGCACAAGATATGCATGATAAACTTGTTCAACATGCACAAAAAGGTGAAATTAAAGTAGAAGAAGTATCTAAAGTTGCTATGATTCAAAATTAGATTGGTCGTTATGCGCGAGAACACAAGCAAGAAGCTATGGCAAGGAAATCAAATTAACTAAAATAATGAAATTTTAAAATGTAATGTTTTAAAATTATAATTTTGTATATAGTTTTTTTGTCAGGAATCTGGCTTTGGAGCTCAATAACTAGTAAAACTCACAATAAAATATAATAAGCGAGTTAAAAAAAGAATTTTTTGGCATTATATCATGGTTTCTGTTGTGTAATATAACAACAAAAGTCGTGTTCTTCTAATGTTACTTAATTGCTAAAAAAGACTGATTACTAGCTTTTTCTTATTAATTCGTGAAATTTCTCCTTACGTGATCTTAATAATTTTTACTGATTTGCATACAGATCATGAATTAAGTAATGATTTTGTAAAGAAGTTTTGAATTGTTTGAAATATTAGAGTATGTATAGATTAGTTATTAGAACAAAAAAGCTAATGTTATGAGTTTTCCTGATTGTTGCAGAGAATGCAGTTATTATATGTAAAGATGTTTGGATAGAGTTGATGAAGATATGATAATGTCAGAAGTTCATTTAATAAGTTTTTGATTTGAAAAGATTTTTGATAGCTGAGTTGAAGAGTAGTAAAGTTAGATGATCGTTTTTGGTTATTATTAATAAAGAGCTATGTAGTATTCCAGTCAATATATTGAAAGATATGTGAAATATTTTGCATATGCCTTTAGGAAGATCACAAGGCTATAATATGTGAATTGCAAATGTTTTTAATTAATTTTTATACAGGTTGTTCAACAGAAAAGTTTTCAAACTGTAATGTATAATAAGGATTATAAAGATTAGTATGATTAAATTGTAGGAGAAGTAACAATAAATAGTGTTTAGCTAAATAATCAGCATTATTATTAAATAAGTTATCACTATGTGCTTGTACTTTATGAAATTCAATGCTAAGATTAAAGGATTTGATGTAATTAAGTA